TCAAATAAACAACGTAATTTATTTCTAAGACGAATAAAATAACTATATAAAAAATTCTATATTTAAAAATAACCAAACTGTAATTAGATGAATGTCGTGAAACCTCGCAAAACTCGCGAACCTTCAGTCGGTCACATCTGTTACTTAGGTACGTTAGTTGGAGAAAAAAAGCTAACTTTCAGCTCATCAATCATTCTGACGAAATGACGAATGAACAGCGAAACGTAGTGGATAGCTTTTCTTCGCCGGCGCAGTAAATAAATGAATTTATGGTTTATTTAAAATATGTGAATAGTTTTTACATATTTAAATTTTTTCGTTTTTAATAACTTGCTTTCACGTATATCTGTTTGGGTCGAATTTACGAGTAGTGATTGAATTTAAACTAACTTCGTGATGAGCTTGGAACTTGGAATTTGAAAACTTGGAATGTAATATAAGCTCACTTTCGCGTCTGTTTGTTTGTGTCTTTGTTTGTTCGGTACAAATTTAGTAATCGATTTTAAACTAACTTCTTGATTAGTTAGAGATTTAAAACTTTAAAGTAGTCCAATAGTTTAAACGTGATAAAAAGTGTTTCCATTTTAAATTCTAATTAATTACTTGTTTTTTATTACCGTTACCGTTACAGCTTATTAAAGTCCACTGCTGAACATAGGCCTCCCCCTTAGTTTGCCTCATGGGGGGGGGGGATATTTGCCACAGTTGCCACGCTTTGTAAGCGGGTTGTCAACCGCAGTTTTTTATTGTTTTAGTCGTTATTAGGAAAACGCTGCTGCCCATCTCCTGATTTGTTACCCTTTGTCGACTCTTACGACACCCACGGGAAGATATAGAGTAGTGTATATTTTAACTGTTTTATTACTCGAAGTATTTATTCACTGAGCGATGTTAAATATCATTTTGTAAAATTTTCTAACTGCACGTCCGTCGTGATATGTTTATTTTATTGAAGAAAAGATAAAGTTGCAGTGTTAATACTTACCACATCTGGGCACAGTCTCCTTCCATTTCTGAGAAGCTTAGGAGCCGTCGTAGCTCAGCGACTAAACTTTATAGAACGCGAGCGGCCCAAGTTTGAGCATCACCATCATCAATGTAATTGTAAATTGCATTGTTATTGACCACGCTCTCGGTGGTGAAATAAAACATTAGAAAACCTGGATGTCCGAAAAACATTTGGAGGACATGTAAAGTTAGCTAACGCGTTGGAGCAGCGCGGCCGCCCAAATGGACACCTAGACAGTAGTCGCAATGAACTCCAATACTCTTTCTTTACATTTCTTAAATAAAAGTAAATTAGTAGTCTATTGTATATATGGGCCAAGTTAAGTGTACCCATAACCAACGAGGATGTATGTAGACATATGGACGTAAAGATCGCGAGAGGGGTGTATCAGGACTCAGGACCGTGTCTAATGGAAATCCGTAGTCTCTACCTAACCCTCGGGGTGACATACGTGAGTGTTAATGTATGTACGTAGTAGCCTATTAACTACAATGGGCGTTACTTATTCTTAAGATAGTAGAGATAAGAAATACATTATTGTGCTACAGTGGACTTCAAATATCTTCGAAGAATTTCCTCAGATGCCTTCCTTCATAACATTGCAATTAATAATTCCAGTGCTATCGACGCCTGTGTCCGAAATATTTCCCCGTGTTTTTGATTTAATGAGAGTACCTATCACCGAATAATAAACATTTTGTATTTTAAATGTTGTTATATTATTCTAAGGGTTTTTCTCAATATCGGTTCAGCATTTTTTGCAGTCAAATTTATTTGGAGTCGTTGTGATTTGAAACTAAAAAAAACGACACTAAAAAGAGACAAATATGAGTATAAACATCTATAGGATTTAGCCTGCGAGAGAATGATAATATCGTATTAAATTAATCGTGTTTAAGTTATCCTTAACCCTTAACCGACGAGCATGTATGCATGTAATCGTGCCAAATGGAAGTCTGTAGTCTATGCCTACCCCTCTGGGTGACAGGCGTGAGCGCTTATGTATATGTATGTAATGTATGTATGTTTAAGTCATCCAGCATCTATTTTACGTACCACTTAGGGATTCCATTAATTTTTGTACGATAAAAAACTCTACCTATAGAAAGAAGTGGATGTGATCGCTATTACAAAGCGATTTCACTCGAATAAAACGTTCTTTTGATTTATTACACTACAATTTAGACTCTACGGGTCTAATAATAAGTATTGCTACATTTATGTCTAAAAATTAAACTTTTATCTTTTATTTTATGCTGCACTTTAGGTTAAATATTATCATATTTAGTAAATCATTTGCCGTGAATTTTTTACTTTATATTTAATTTCATTTAAAAGTTTCATGTCTACCGCGTGGTAACTGCAGATTTGTTTTTTTTAATTCCTATTTTCCTATTTTATATTCCAAGTTTCCTTATTTTAGCATTTCCTACTAGTAGGTTTGTTGTTGTTTAGGTCATTGAGTTATACAAAATATATAAATCAATGTTGTAGGTAGTGTGGACTTTCCGGGTCGCAAGGTTTTATTTTAATATAATATTTTAATCGTTAATATTTGTATGTTTTATTACTCCATAATAATGCATTTAGACAATAATACTACTGTTGCCAAGTTATAATGTTTGGAGCTGATTTTTTCAATCGTCAGATTAAAAACAATTCGTGAGATAAACTACAACATAAACAAATTAAAAACAACATTTGTATGAGCAAAATAGTACAATAGCTTTACTTTTATTTTCAGCCAGGTTATAATTTTTCGATGGATAACATTTATCTCATGAATAAGAAATCGGTACTTAATCTATTAGAATATATATAAAATATTTTATTCATTAAAAAAGTAATTATAACGAAGGTAGTTGAACAAACAAATGCTAACACATGATAAAATGTGTAACGTGTAGGGGCGATGTAATTGGCTGGGTTTAAGATACTGCACTCTCTCTCACTCTACTGCACTATATCATCTCATATGATTTGTAAGAAAGATTACATACCGATGCCCCATAGACTATATAGGGAAACGAAACAGCAGCATTTTTCTGATAGCAAATCAATATAATAAAAAACTGCTGATGATAGCCCGTCTGTTAAGGGGAAATATAACCTCAAATGGCTTAGCAAGATCCTCCGTTATGACGAAAGTATTGCAGCATTAATTTTGAAATAAATATATGGTAAAGTTGAGGATTAATGTTGAGATTTGTGTTAGACGAAAACACGATTCCGTAAAATTTTCTCGATAGAAAAAAAAATCCAAAGTTACCTCCAAACTGAACAATAAACCGCTGTTATTCATAAAATACTTTAAATAAGATCATGAAACTTTGCATACTATATAATTTTACCATTGATACATTATACCATAAAGCACTGCTTATGTTATTTACTTTTTTTTAAATATCATCATTTTCACTGTAAAAAGAAATTATCTAAACTATCGACGCGTAAGCTTGGTTCCTGTCGCTCCGTTAGTATTGCTCCGGCTTTTGAAGGGAGAAGTTGTGTCGCTTACGATCAGAAAACACATTACGCAACAGGAAGACGTAAAATTAAAATGGGAAATAACCGTTATAAAAATAAGAAGCGACTGGGTTGGCGTTAAGAAACAGGCATATATATGATAAACATAATGAAATAAGTATCTAACGACCTATCTACTTAGAGTATTAGTGATTACAAACATATCGGTACATAGCATACGACGCGCGGGGAAGTGGGGGCGAAATTAGAATTTGAGCTGACTTACTCTCACCTCTTAAGTAAGACAATAATGGTAAATATACCTTATGGTACAATTTATGGGTAGGCCTAAGATCAGCAGTAGATTTTAGATAGCTGGAAATGATGGTGAATGGTTATTGTTTAAAACTTATTGCCACTATTACCGTACAGTATAGCTTTAAAAGCAATTACAAATCCTGATGATTTTTTTTTCATAGAATAGGGTGACAAACGAGCACACAGTCCACCTGATGGTAAGTGGTTGCTGTGGCCCACAGACAACTACATCTACCCTCGATTACAAATCAAAATGCAGATGCGTTTTTACCCGTGAGGACTAAGATGGAATGCCTCATTTTCAGTAAAAAGGGTCTCCGGTGCTTTACACCCACCACACGAAACACAGCTGCATTAAGCTACTATTTTACGCTTGTATTCTGTGAGAGCGTGGTCCTTCCCCGGTCGAGCCGACCTATTCGTGCTACAAGCTACAACTATACTACTAATATAACTGTAGCAGAACAACAAAAAACAGATGTGATACCTTTTCAGCCAAAGAAGGAAGGTGGGTACTAAGGTGGTCATTACAACTTTTGTTATTCCAGTTTGTGATGCAATACATCTTAGATTTCAAAGGTGACAACACTTCAGTTGCTTCCTTTGTTTAAAATTGGAAGACCATCAGGTAGACTTCTCGATTGTCATTACATACTTCTATTAAAAAAATTCCGCAGTAACACGCATCAGTAATGAGCCACGTTTCTATACCACCAATAAAATCCAGGCTTCACATCAAATTATAATTGATCGTAATCGTAAGAATCTGTGTGAAATCGAGCGGTAAAGCTTAAAAACTATTGTTATTTTACTATGCGCGCGAATAACGAGACGGAGTAAGTAGCCTGACGCCACTTTTGTTAATTACCCTCGTTTTATTGAATGAAATGCTTCACAATAAAATCGATAAGTATTACGTGAACATATTTCACGTTGAATAACACATTGAGTATTGGCAAAGTAAGGTCTTAAAAAACTGCGTAAATATTAAATGATACGTTGTATATATTATCTAATGAGCGCCTCTGCGCAACGATAAATATATAGCTGCAAGTTGCTATAGCGTTAGTGATTCAAAGCGATCGCGATTCATCATATTATAGGTTTATATTTGGCGACAATTTCACAATGTCAGGTCAGGATTACGGTATATATCGTGATTAAAAAGGTATGTTATACACAATGGATGATTAAAGCGTTCGCTCACCAGTATTCGTCCTGTGGTGGTCTGACCGGAGATGAGTTCGCCGGCCCAATCCTTCGCCTCGGTCATGAAGGTGCCCTCGAACTCCTGTTTGTTCTGGCGCGCCGCCTTTTGCTCCTTCTGCTTCGGATCGTTGGGCGCGAGCTCCGGCTCCTTCCTGCAGCAGACGAACGCGCAAGCGCGACATACGAGCACCACCAGGAGCCCTGCGAGGAACGTGAAGATCGAAGAGAGCAGGAAGCACCACCATTTTCGGACACTGAGGCAGTCATCTTCAGGGTTAATCGACACGGTTGTCACCTCTTCCTCGGACGAAGCCATTCCCCGAGGGCGCGAGGCATCCAGACAAGCGCGCCATGCACGTGCGACGCGCGCGCTCGCACGCCGGCCCGCGCGCGACTGTCAGCGCGACCTCTGGCGGAGCGACTCGCACGCCTAGTGCCCGCTGGCCGCACGACTCCCGGCCCGAACCGCTGCGCGCCGCTCGATGCCCGACGATCGATCCGCGCCTGCGCGTCGCTACCGACCCGCGCTCATGCTGGCCACGTCCTCTCCCTTTTTCTGCCCCAACAAACGTCACCCTTCCCGAACCATCAATGTCCAGCGAACCTAGGAATGATGCTCCTTTCCACTCAGATCACCACCGTACCGTCCTTTTTATCAAATTGAGTCCGTTGTTATTGAACGTGAAAACGCTGTTGACACACTGTTCCATCGATGCATACGTGTCACAAAGATTTCTTAAATGATCGCGAGTTGCAAACACTTTTTATTTTCCTTAAAACATTTTGTTGTCATAGCGCGAAACTTGTCAGAAAATTCCACTTCCTGCCACATTAGTCCATGTAACGCCCTCGATAACCAATTCCCAATATACGACTACTCATAGTACTGCGGCGTTTTTATATTACGATGCGATGTAACAATTCGAGTTTTCGTTGTACACTGCGTTAGTTTCACGATTCTTCCGCCTTTTGTTACAATAAACGAAACTGTGTTGCCACACAAAAATCCGTCGCGTGTGTTCAAAGAATTTTGTGATTATTTTGTGGAGAATGCGGAGGTTTAAGAGAGGTCAATGTAACCCGTTTCACGTAGCTCTACGCCGCCCTCTGTGTGCGTCATAGAGCGCTACCGGCCTCGTAGACGTCTACGGGCTACGATTGGCTGTGAGAATAGCGCCTTTACGGACTGTTTCCAATGTTGCTTTGTCTCTTTTGTGCTTTGGGTTATTTAAAGATTAAAACAGGTTGTTAATTATGAGCGGAAAAGTTTTTAATTATTTTGTTTATTATCTACTTTTACAAAGATAACCACAGCCTGGCTCTTATTGTTTAAATATGAAGAAATTAAGTAAATGATTCTGTATACCTACTCTGATTACGCATTACGCAATATTAAAGAGCGAAGTATAGTATTGCTTTTTTCTCTTTCACGAATATATTTCTTTCTTTATATACTCTTAACCTTCGTAGTGAATACTTAATTTTATAAAAAAATCTATAAAAAGATATTGTTTTCTCCACCTATTCTCTTTCGTCATTATTATAACACTTAAGCACTTATTAGAAACATAAAAAGTTAAGTTGCAACCTATATTCGTCCCACGCCTAGGCATAGAATTAAGAATAAACCTAGAATTAAGAATAGATATAGAAGATTAAGAATAGACCTTCTCTCATTTTTAGGGCAAAGAGATGTCCACCGCGCTGCCCCAATGCGTGTTGAGGAACTTCGCATGTCTTGGAAATATTTTTTAATTTCTCAGGCATATAGATTTTCTTACGATGTTTTACTTCAATGTCAAGTAAGTTGTAAATCAGCACTTAAAATTACAATTAACTATTTCATTGGACAGGCGCGGCGGGGATCTAACCCGGTTTACTCGCGTACCTACTGTGAAATTTAAAGCGAGCATTTGGCCCGTGAGCTACCACGGCGTTAGAACGATTAGCAGCAAATAATTTAAAAGGCAAATAAATAATCTAAGATTATATAAATACATTCATTCGGTAAAGAACTTTTAAATACAGTGAAGCCGTACAATATGTATAATTCAGTATTTATGTTTTTGTTTTTGTACTCAGAAAATTTAACGAGTATGATTAAAGGCTGGGTTACAACAAATGCGTGCACACCACGACCGCATGTCGTATGCGATGCAAAAATATTAATGTATGAAACGATGGAAGCCGTCACACTGGTTTCATTACGTGTACAGCGCGTGTGAACGAAGGCTACGTGACGTCTTCTTTAAAGTTTCATATGACTTTATAATTTACAATTGGCAACGCACACGTGCTGCACACGTCACGCGCAAGCACGGAAATATATAATTATTTTAGAATCATTTCCATTATCTATAATAATTACTTATCTAACACGTCACAATAAATGAAATTTTAATGAATTGATTTATTAGAATCAAATTTATTTAATTTACTTCTCGACCAATTAACATTATGACGTTAATCAATCAATCAAATAATATACTCTTTATTATACAGCAATACGCATTAAAACAAAATTAAAATGAAATATATTCCAAAGAGCGCCGTGGTAGCTCAGATGGTTAGCGCTCGCTGTAAATTTCACAATACGCTAAGAAACCGGGTTCAATCCCCGCCGGTCCTAATGAAATTGTTAATTGCAATTTTAAGTGCCGATTTACCACGTGCTCGGCGGTGACGGAAAACATCGTGAGGACCGAACAAAACCTGCATGCCTGAGAAATAAGAAAAAAAATATTAGTAAGATATGTGAAGTTCCCCAAAACGCATTGAGGCAGCGCGGCGGACCTTGCCCTAAAACCCTCTCAGGAATGAGAGGAGACCTGTGCCCAGGAGTGGGACGTATATAGGCTGTAACTTTAACTTTATATTATAAGGAAAGTAAAACCGAGGTCTTATTGCTCTGGAAACGATTTCTTACATACAACCTTTTTACGCCAAGAACTGTTCTTCTCGACGAAGGGCGAGAAGTGAGGTGTACATAAATTAAACAATTAAGCAAAAAAACAATACACAAATTTATGATATTTAGATTATTTATGATAGAAGATAAGTATAAGATACAAGAAAAGACGGGAAAATGGTTGGAAATATTAGAGTTCTAAGTAATAAGTTTTGAGCAGTTTTTAAAGGAAAAAAAGGACTCATGACGTCGAAATATAAAGGTGTTATGGAGATTCACAAGCGTACATTTGTAACAGAAAATGGTTTGTTAAAAGTGTAACGTAGATGACGATCGTGAGAATAAAAGATGAACTCAAAGCGGTCTTTCAAGTATCGTGAAGTGGTGATGTGACTATTTTATCCCAAATTCGTGGAGATTTTTCTTTGTAAACAAAATTATTTTACGAACGTAAATTACGCTGCATTATAAGATCACATTGTCAGATACAGTGTTTCATACCGGCACACCGCCGGCAACTTTACAAGGCGCAGGTACGGCCTCACATGGAATACTGTTCCCATCTCTGGGCTGGGGCTCCCCATTTCCAGCTCCTTCCGCTGGACCACATTCTGCGCAGAGCGGCACGAATCTTAGATGACCGAGTACTTTCCGATTGGCTCAATTCACTGGCGCTGCGAAAAGATGTTGCATTTCAGCTTTCGCATTTACCACGGGAGTGCTCTGAGGAATTGTTCGGATTCATCCCAGCCGCCAAATTGCGTGAACGCACTACCCGGAAATACTCCCAATACCATCCACACCATCTGGATGCTTGGCGGTCCACCACTGTTTGTTTCACTACAAGTTTTCTTCCGCGTACGATCTCTCTGTGGAATGGATTACCACCAGCGATTTTTCCGGACCGATAAGACCTGGGGACCTCCAAGAAAAAAGCTTACTCCTTTCTAAAAGGCCGGCAACGCACCAGCAATTCCCCTGGTGTTGCAGTTGTTCATGAGCGACGGTAGTCACATCAGGTGAACCATATGCTGGTTTGCCCCCCCTCCTATAAAAAAATTTCACCCAAACGAGGCCGGGGCTCGTCGCTAGTTTAACATATATTAATTTAAGATAGATTTAAACTATCTAGTGGTAAGTAGGTGTACCTACTTGACTTTCGTAGTTAATTGTTATGTTGTTATAATATTATGTCGGTAAATAATTGTAATAAGGGATGTACAAAATAATTAAAAACTGTTTTGAGCAGGTGGAAAGAATGAATGTTAAAAAAATGACAATGCAAATGTATGCTGCAGAAGTAAGTGCCAGCGCAAGGGACGCCCTAGAAAGTTTATTGTCCAAAATATATTAAAGACGGGACGAAGTAAATAGTTAGTGTAAATCTTTTTTTCTTTTTTTGAAGCCACCTGAAAATAATATCTGTCATTTCTGATAGGATTATGGAGCAATTGTTCCGCCGCGCTGCTTGGGTATTAGTGGACTTCCCATGTTGACGGATCCGCGGCACAGTGGCTTAGCAATCAATGCGGCGACGAGAGCCGCGGGTTCATGTTTGTCTTCGACTGCCTTGAACAAAAATACGGTTGACCCTGCAGGACATCCCTACAACTTCCCGCTAATTTCAAATGAAAAGCGCTTCAAATTTCATCTGTTACGATGTTTTTGAGTTCGAAACGGTTCTGGATTGAATTATACGTCAAATTTTTTCGAGTTATTTTGAAAAAACACTTTTTCGAGATTCTTTTCGACAACGATATCTCTCGAACGAATCAACAGATTTCGATGTGGTTTGCAGCAATCGACGTCGTTTATTGAGTACAATAGTTGAATAGACAAAAGAGTAGAGTGACGCAGTTTAGAGGCCCGCGTCCAGGCTTGGCTCATACTGGACGCGGAAGTGGATCCTATACAATAATAAACACTCATCACACAGTATAGATCCATATTCCCGACTTAAAGCGGTGCCCCAAACTAAAGATTAGCCAGAAAAAACATGGTGACAGTTTGGTGGTCTACTGTTGGTGTTATGCGCTATAGCTTCTTGCCATCTAGTGCCCCGTTACTGCTGACCGTTATTGTTAAGAATTGTAAATGATAGTGGAGATGCTGACACTCAAACAACCCAGATTAGTGAACTGATCTGCGCCATTGCTTCTTCATGGCAACGCCTGGCCACATACTGCACAATAGACGTTGGCAACATTAGCATATTAAAGATCTTATAAATTAATTTGCTTATCTCCATGTTGAGACCGCAAAGTCTACTTCACCTGAGGATGCCTCGTGTAGAGGCGAAACGTCGTGTTGAGAGTAGTGCTGCTGGGATTTTTGGGGACGGGGATAGTGCACGCAATTGAGGGAGGCCGGGAGGTGCTCTTCAGATAAGGTAAGACACATCATTTTATTTTAATACGTGGGTAAAAGCAAATTAATTTTCAAGATCTTTAATATAATGGATAACCGCAAAGTAACACCCGATTCTATTAATTAAAATTAGCACAGCTAAAGCTAGAGACCCTTCTTGTTCTACCGTATTCTTCAGACCCTTCCGTCACAGACTTCCACTTTTTTAGAAGTATGATGAACGACTTCAAATTATAGTACCAATAGTATAATTAATATGATTGTCGTATCAGACTATAACCTAAACAAACGGCCCATAAATTGGCAAGAATGCTTGTTGTGTGAGTTTAGGCAAATATTTTAAATCCATAAAGTTTTAATATTTTTATTTTAACATCCAAAACGGCAATTTCATAGCTAAAGATCTAATATTAGGCACACATAATATGTAAAAATGTACACTGTTGTCGCGCAAAAGGTTAATGGATGCAGAATTTTTACGCCAAAGTCGTTATATAGGTACGTGCTGACACTTTAGCAGCCTCTTATCTCAAGAGTTTATGTTTAGAGCCGGGGCGGCATCACAGGCGGGCTGACCTCAGTAAAAGGCGCAAACAAATGTGTGTGACGCTCTTAAGAGATAATGTTATATATTACGTGTGTGTGCTTTTTTCTTGCCAAAAGGCTATTATAGACCTAAAGGTGCTACACATTAACGTTGTTTTGTCCATGTTCATTTTAAAACCTATCCATTAGGTGACACTATTGAAGTCATTGAGCGTAGTGCTGACGTCCTCCAGCGATTTTGCCCTTACGACTATAATATATTTGGTAGATCGAAGGTAAGTGATGTACACGTCATTGATGTTAACATAACACTGTGAAGTATTTCAGGTCATAGAGATATCATAGCACGTCTCATAGAATACCAGTGTAAAATAGCAGCTTAATGCTGCTGCTGCTAACTACTTACCATCAGGTGGACTGTGTGCTCGTTTGTCACCCTTATCCTATAAAATACTGCAGCTCTATAAGTAGTATAGTTGTAGCACGAATGGGTAGCGCAACCAGGGTAGCACCACGCTCTCACAGAATACCAGCGTAAAATAGGAGTTTACCGCTACTGTGTTTCGTATGGTGAATGTAGAGAACCGGCGACCATTTTTCCTGGAAATGAGGCATTCCATCTTAGTCCTCACGGGTGACAATGCAACTGCATTTTGTTTCGTAATCGGAGATAGATGTAAGATGTCTATGGGTCGCAGTAACTACTTACCATCAGGTGGACTGTGTGCTCGTTTGTCACCCTTGTCCTATTAAAAATACTGCAGCTCTATAAGTAGTTTAGTTATAGCACGAATGTAGCGCAACCGGGGAAGCACCTCGCTCTCACAGAATACCAGCGTAAAATAGGAGGCTGTGTTTCGTATTGTGAGTGTAGAGAATCGGAGACCATTTTTCCTGGAAATGAGGCATTCCGTCTTAGTCCTCACGGGTGACAATGCAACTGCATTTTGTTTCGTAATCGGGGATAGATGTAGATGTCTATGGGCCGCAGCAACCACTTACCATCAGGTGGACTGTGTGCTTGTTTGTCACAATTGTCCTACAAAAAAATCTCTGCAGATGGATAGGTTTCGTACTCTGGTTCTGTACTCGGATAGCCTTTCGATATACCGATAGTCAACTTGGCACTGCTGAAGGCATCAAAAACGATTTGGAACCAAGTCTTGGTAATGAGTTGGTTCTATTTGAAATCTAAGGAGCTCTTCTACTACCATTTGCTTGAAAAACAATATTTCGGAGCTACATTTCCAAATGTTGCAATTATTTTGAGTATATACTTGGTACTTGATGTTGATGGTGTTTAACTGCACTGGAGAGAGCTCATTTTCGAAAAAGAAAATTATAAAAAATTTTTTTTGAACTGCAATGACCGAATGATAGAAACCGCCTATGAAAGTAATGATGATGTATGAATGATGAAAGTAATCCCTACTAAATATTGAAAGTGATTTGCTGTGAGAACTAGGTTTTACCGAAAACGATTAATGATTTTTCGATGAAAAAATCTTGTGTTATCCGTTCGCTTATCATTTATCTGTTTTCTTTTCTTCTTTATATTTTAATAGAAAAATATTTCGTCTTCTGTTCCAAAACATTAGCGGGGCCTACTTCTTGGTTGCCACAGGGTCACCACACCATTAGATGATTGAATGATATTATTGAATGATAATGATTTAATTAATACTAGTACCCGGTTGACCGAGCTTTGCTCGGTATTTTTCGCTCGGTTTTTTTAATTCGTGTGTTTGGAAATTATATTTAGATACAAATTACATACTGATGAAATACGAATAATATTTTTTGATCTTAGCGACATAATAAAAAAAACTGAACTGGTTATTTGAATAAAAAATCATGAGTGCAATTAGTTTAATTTAAATTTTCGTGTTTTTAAAAAATACTAAAAAAAGGGCTCGAAAAAATAGATTTTCTCAAAAAAGAAAGGAAAAAGTCGGTCGGTCGGTCTGGGCTCGAATCATGGTATTACGATTTTGTGACCGCCCAATATACCGATTAAGCTATTTGTAATCATTAGTAAACTGTCAAAATTTACCTTCTTATTCTAACGATATTGTAGCAGTTTTTCATTGTCTAAAAACACGGACAAAAAGACATTTTCTAAAAATAAATCCTAGCTAGATCGATTTATTGCCCTCGAAACTCCCTGCACACAAAATTTTATGAAAATCGTTGGAGCCGTTTCCGAGATTCCGATTTTATATATATATATATATATATATATATATATATATATATATATATATATATATATATATATATATATACATATAATAATTGCTCGTTTAAAGGTATATAATACTATTTGGTCCGATCTACGCAGAATGAGCTTATATATTATAATGAATCGGTGTTCCATTGCGTGTATTTGTTGTCTACCAGATCTGATAAAATGGTTGGGATGATACTGAACATTTATTCTTCAGACTTTCCGGAGCGTCGGTGCTTCACATCAGCGATTTTTTTACGTGGGTTTTTATCGAACTGTCATTCAAAGTTGTGTAGAAAAGCCCGCTTAAAAAGTTACAATAAAACGTGATAAAATCCATAAAATTGGTTTTACTCCATGTGTATTATTCATCACTGCTCTCAGGACTGCGTTTATGAAATTTTGACTAGAACGTTAAAAAATATTAGCATCTATTTTATAGTGCCGATCAATATTAAATCTGAATCAAATATCGCAAATGAACATTATACCGTAAGTTGATAGAAGGCCACGAAATCATGATTACTTTGTTACCACTAAATTAACTTTAATTATTAATGAATGTAAAAAAATAATGATAATAAAAGGGGAAGTGACGACCCCATCGTCCGCTGACGTAACAATTATGTGACAAAACTGCTTTGTCGGCCAGTCAGCCAGCGCCTATCCAAGAGGTGTGAGCGTCGTGCCTCGGCAGAACTGAGGGTGTAAAGGCCCGTTTGTGCTTACGTCCGTACAATGAAACGGGGCCGGGCCTGGGCGTCTCCTGTTAACTGACGCCCATAAATAAATGGATGATGGATAACCAAAGAGCGCGCCGCTTCCCGAGGGTCAACGGGGCGCGTCTGGAGCTGGCGCTGGACGTGACAGCATGCAGGCCACCAGCCAAGTGCGAGGACCAGATGGCTTGGTGTCGGCCGGGTCTTCTCGGTCTCGGCAAGCGGCATCCGCCGCTGGTGGAGTACGCCACGTGCGTTGTACAAATATATGAATGCAAACGCTTTGCGGGTGTACAATAGGGCGAAAGGGGAAGAAGCTGCGGGGATAGCGTATCGGGCTCGGATGCATTACTTTTTTCCTGAGCTGGAGCCGTATATTCACTTCATAGAGCAAACTCTGGCAGACCAAGTTCGGTACATCATGCGGTCGAAAATTTTTGATGATGCCAAACTCGAACGACTACGGCGTGAGGCTATTCCCTCATCGAATGAAGCGGCTATGGCAGGGGATGCGACTCCTCAGGCCAAAGACCAGCGTCCACACGTGGAAGAAGCCTTGTATCTTCCAGTTTTGGTTGATTCAGACGATGATAAAATAGTCTCCAACGTACTAGAGCAAATGAGGAGCATATTGGAAGAGGCGATTTCGAAAACGAAACGAAAAAAATCAACCGCGACTTCCCCGCATATCCCTAAGTAAGCGCAATCGGGCTATGGTGAGAGCTCTTAACCCAATGCTGGTGACCTATTTGGAAGCCAGCCGGGACCTTCGCGAGACAGACTCAATTCTTTTTGTCGTCGCAATGGCAGTTTGCAGTATTTTTGGCACCAAACTTCACATGGCTTCCAATGGCTGGTAAAACTAATTTGTCTAGTAGCGCTACCCCAACCTGGAGAAAAAGAATTAAGGACCGTATCGCAAAAGCAAGGGCGCTTATCGGCAGACTCACAAGCTTCAGGTCGGCTATTAATAGATAGAGGGTTGTGGGCACCGTTAGAATGGCGTTTACTGGGACAAATATGAGTTTATCCCAACGCTTAGTTAGCACACTTGACCAAAGTGCTTAACAGCCTTTTGTCCGGTGTGAATAAGACACACATATAATGGCTGGGTCATGAGTCATGCCTGTCCTCATGTATACCTCTGGCATACTCAGGTGGACTAAGAATGAACTTAACGCCCTGGATAGAAAAGTCCGCACTACTATGACGACCTGTAGAATGCATCATCCGAGATCGTCGGTAATGAGGCTGTACTTGCCGCAAAACTATGGTGGGCGTGGCTTTTTAAGCGCGATCTCCATTTATAATCGCGAAGTGTGCAGCCTTCGCAATTACTTCCTGTCGAGATGGGATGATCCATTTTATAAGGACGTCATTTCGAAGTCGAGTCTTTGCTTAACAAAGTCTCGGATTGGGGGCGACAGAAGACCCAAGTTTGCGCGTTAACCGCAAAAAGAACCCCTTTGTCATATCTCCTCAGTTTGAAGGCACTCCTCTTGCTGTCTCAGCTAGCATCGGAATCCACGGCGTCGACATATTGAATAATGTGCAGTTTCGTGGTCACTTGGAGGGGAAGGCCAAATCTAAAAAGCTTGGCGTGCTTAGCATAGCGAGACAGTATTTCACGTCGGCACATCGCTTGCAATTTTACAAAGCGCAAGTTCGGCCTCACATGGAATACTGTTCTCATCTCTGGGCCGGGGCACCACAGTGCCAGCTCCTTCCACTTGACCGCATCCAGCGCAGAGCGATTCGAATCGTCGACGACCGAGTTCTTTCTGATCGGCTCGACTCACTGGCGCTGCGTAGGGATGTTTCATCTACCATGCGTTTTCTATCGTATCTACCATGGGGAGTGTTTCGAGGAATTATTCGGATTGATTCCAGCCGCTAAATTTCACGAACGCACATCGCGTCAAAGTTCACGATACCACCCTCACCATCTAGATGCTTGGCAGTCCACCAGTTCGTTTTACTAGGAGCTTTCTTCCTCGTACAACTTCTCTGTGGAATATTTTACTACAGGCGATTTTTCCGAACCGATACGACTTAGAGACCTTCAAGAAAAGAGCTTACTCCTTTCTAAAAGGTCGGCAACGCACCTGCAATTTCCCTGGTGTTGCGGTTGTTCACAGACGGCGGTAGTCACTAATCATCAGGTGAGTCGCAAGTCCATACCATACGTACCTTTTTTGACACATTCTGACTTTACACAATAGAGCGTAGGGCCCCATTTACTCTATTTCCTGCGTTCACTCGTCGTTCTATATCCTTATCGTATCTCCCATCCTTGCTAAATACGCATCCCAAGTATACAAATTCACCTACTTGTTCTATGATCTCCCCTTCTATTCTTATTTCACATATCGTTTTACTTTCTTCTCTTACAAAAACCATAACTTTCGTCTTACTTGCGTTCACATTCATACCCCTTTCTTTTAATGATCTGTTTATTAATGTAACCGTCTTTTGCAACTCGGTCGCCAAAGACGCAAAATTAAGTTTCTCATTGGCGTATAAAAGGCATTCGACGGTTAAATTACCCATTCATAATCCGCATTCTTCAACTTCCAAATTTTCCAAACAACTGTGCATATATAGGTTGAACACCCACGGCGTAGCCACACAGCCCTGTCTGCCACCTTTATGGATTCCAAACCAGTCCGAGTAGACCCTGTTGATCCTGTCACAAGCACTAGAGTCCCTATAAAGAGACCTTAACGCCTGTATCAACCCAGCGTTCAACTCAAATGAGTTCAGTGCTTGCCATAACACATTTCTGTCCACTCTGTCATAAGCCTTTTCCAAGTCCATGAATGCACAATAAACTTTTTGGATTTTGGCAAAAAACTTCTCCGCGATCATGCAGAAGAAAAGACTTTCTGTACACTCCATTCCCTTTCTAAATCCCGCTCGCACATCCAAATTTTTCCATCAGTTTCTTTTATGACCCTTTCAATTAGTAAACAGTTTTCCCACTATGCTAAGAAGGCTTATATATATATATATATATATATATATATATATATATATATATATATATATATATAGTTTTGAGGCGGTACTGGGCTCATCAAGATAAACATAAGATCAACAATATTAAAACTACTCAACTTCAACATCTGTCTGTTAGTGATCAAACATTTACCAAACGTCTTTAATTGTTTTAAAAATCACTTTCTTATTTCTATAAGACTTCACAAACAAATTTTAGGTTTACCAAAACATCGAGCTTATCAATTTAACTCGCTTGCGTTATATTTTTGTTGTCAACAGCATTAAAAATTCGGACGCTGTTGATACTGTGATTACTGATTACATTGTGTTTATTCTGATAGAAATATTTGCATATAGCGACATGTACTGTTAAAGCGCTTATTACATTGTATAATTTATAGAAAATCTAATTAGGAACCTAAATTGGAAGCTAGTGATCACATTACACTAAATTGAATTCTAAATCGTGATGAAGCGCATTCGTAAAGAAGTATCGACGGGGTTGCACGTTTGATCGATGCCGTATTTATCAAAACAACAGAAAATAGGACTTGCCTTAGCCGTGGTGGGAACAATGGATATTAAAAAAAGAGTACTTGTCATTGAGAAAAAAACTGTCCAATATGAATATAATTATATATTTTTATTTTCTAAGAAGTTTTTTTATAGAATAGGGTGACAAACTAGCACACAGTCCACCTGATGGTAAGTGGTTGCTACGGCCATGGACATCTACATCTATCTCCGATTACAAATCAAAATGCAGATGCGTTGTCACCTGTGACGACTAAGATGGAATACCTCGTTTCCAGTAAAAAGGGTCTCCGGTTCACTACACTCACCATAAGAAACCCAGCAACATTAAGCTACTATTTTACGCTGGTATTCTGTGAGAGCGTGGTCCTTCTTCGGTCGAGCTGACCCATTCGTGCTACAACTATACTACTAATATAACTGCAGCATGGCTCTACCACCTATAAAACGGTTTGATTATTTGTTAAGTTTGGTATCCAAACATATTGAAAAAGTGTGAGTACCAAAGAATATTTGATGGTGACATTACGTTTTATAGCCACCGGAAATTAATATTAAGATTTAAAGTACTGCTCTCTGCTATCAGAACCGTTTCTATCAAAACTTCAAGACGTCCGCTTGTATCAAAGCGCGGGCGCCGACTTTCAGTTTATACAAAGGTAATCTGTAGCGCTGACTGGTTGTTCTAAGTCGTAACGTTGCGATTATACTGTCCTAAATTGTAAACAATTTAGGAAGTAGAGCGGTCGGGACCTCCAATTTGACTAAATCGGATCCTAACTGTTCTAACTACGATTACACCTTCCTACTTCCTAATTAGATTTTCTAAAAATTGTATAATGTAAATTATTTTGTCGGTCGCTGTTGATACTGTGATTACTGATTACTCGTACATCGTGTTTATGCTGATAGAAATATTTGCATTTAGCGACATATGTATGGTTAAGCATTATTTTGTTGTTTTTACGACTAATTGTCTTACACAATCAATAATAAGATAATGAAAAATTGAAGTATCTGAATCACTGACCTCTGTTATTTAAGTGAGCAGACTTAGAAATTTATTGATAATAATAGTTTAGGGCGCCACCACTAGATGGCGAGACGATCTGAAAGCAGAAATTAATAGACGCAGGTGGCTTAGAAGTCAAGAATGTGTTTGAACATCACAAGCATTCCTTGGAGGATGGAGGAGGCCTGTGTTTAGCAGTGAGTTTGTCAAAGGCTGTAATGCTGTATACTGGGTGGAGATTAGGTTATCACATTTTATAACGCAGGAGTAAATGCAAGTTGATATACGTCTGTTGAAATAATAAAATAAACAATAATATAAAAAATAAAAATTGCATTTTTTCAAACAAAATAAATAGCTTAAAATATTATACGAAATAAATCATGCTGGATAATATGAGTTTATTGACCTGATGTGACTGTAAAAACGGCAACGGCGCAGCGATACCTACACTTGCCCATACATAGGGAATTAGGCACGCGTAGGGCGATGCTAATGCGATATTATCAACAAATCATAAACTTTATGATATTGTTTTATCCAAATAATCACTCTAATCCTGTAATCACTAAAGTTTAATAACTACATCAAATCAAATTTAATAATTAAATGTTGTTTAATGCTAGAGCCGCGTTTTGGTGGCATTCTCAGTAAATCAAAATCATGTCGGTTTATTCCGACGACGTGAAATTGATACGAGGTGTCTCAAAACTTAGAAAAAGTTAAAACGTTAAAAAGTAAATGCCACACCACTTCACTAAGTTATTAAATATGATTTTTATCTAGCGTATCATTAACGTGTCCTATCACAAACAAAAAAAATACAAAACAATAGAAGTAAGCGTCTAATTTCGCATCTATTATTATCCTATTAACGTAAACAAATCGAGAAACTTATCAGCGCGCAGTCCCTTTGTTTTTAATTTGGCGCATAAGAATTAAGTCTTAAATCGTTTGACTTAAGTACATTTTTTGCTTGATCCTTTTTCTTTATTTGAGTTATTCGGATTGGCAACGTTTGAACTATAATTTGCCTTTGCCGGTCATGGGTCTTTGACCTTTTAGTATTCGTCAGGTGATAAATATATGCATTTACATGATGTTGTTTAATATTAAATCGAAAAAAAAAATTATTACTGGGCATAGGATGTTAA